GTCTTAGGGGGATTGCACTTGTACCTTTCACCTAAGTACATGTAAACTGTATTGTTAATATTACGTGATACCACTTGATGAACTGTTATACATTTTACTATATGTCATTGAATATAAAATGACACATTCGACAAAACTGCATACCTGTGCTTTTGGTTTTTACTGCTCTGTCAGGCTGATATTTCTCATAGGAGGCATAGATATAGGAATGAATAATAAAAATAATACTTAATAAACCCTTATGACAAAAATAAATACCAATTTTAAACTGTTTCGGATTTCAGAGATATCATGGGACGGCAACAAGGTTCCGTGGTAGATGCTGCTATCGCCACCATTCTTTGTCAGTGTGTGGTATTGGAGTAGGGCATTTCATGACTGTATACAATAGGTATGTACTTAGTACAAAAAATACTTGGTCATAAAATGCTAATAATTAAGGTCAATCAACCTAACTTCTTTTGATTTTAAAGGGCAAATGACACAGCTTACACAATCATAGCACGCGAGATGGCGCCTGGGGCAGCTAAAGAAGAAATGTTTGTGCCAGAAAATAAATCTTCAACGGAAGGTAGAAATGAATAAGCATTTTATAACATGTAACATCTCCCAGCTATAACAATTAGACAAACTTACCCTTAAATTGCCACAGTTTCTTGAATATCCGTATTGTAGTTTGTTTCCGTAACCAAAATGAAGTCTTTGAATAGTACTGTAAGTGAGGAACTAATATATACATCCCATATTCATCAAAATCAAATCATTTAAGTTCTTTCTCTATTGTTATGTTTCCTTGTAGCATCACTAAACTAGCAGTTTAGAAATATAATTACATTGTATGTGTAATATTTACATATACACCACTGTAGGTTATCTATAGGTTATTGAGTCATTCGGGTAAAATACAACTGTACAGCTGCAGGTATGTAATGCACGTAATAATTTATCCACATACTGACTTGCTTTCAAAACTTATTTAACAAAGCGAAGGAGAGATAGTGAACAGTGCGTTGTCGTAACCATACCATCACGCCATGATCACCAATGCACCAACTAGACATCGCTATTGCACCAACGTCCATAATTATTCTATCGCTTCATTATGCCATCGCAGCATCACCATAGTTTTTTATCAAGATTAGTGTTGACTAGATCGAAGTCAAGAATGGCTTGTGCGTGATAGAAATCACGAGGAATCTGCAAGTGCTCTTAAGTTGCACAATCATACCCATTTCTCATCAAAATATGCACACAATGGGATACAAGATTATAAATTATCTTACTAATAAGGTGACCTTTCTACCCAAAAAATACAACAAATATATATGGTCACGAAATAGAAAGCTACGTATTCTTTAAATTAGAGATTTTAAAGACATATAAGTAAGATCGCAGTAAGATTTTTACACAGAAAAATTTTACTATAACTGTGTAGAATCTTCATTGTTGAAAAGACCTAAACTCCTAAGACAGACTAAGACATATATAAATCATTTAGAGCTGGAATAGAAGATGTTGGGGAATAATACTAAGCTCTTACCAGTGCTAATTTCAAAAGCTAGTAAAAAGGGTTGGATAAAATTGAACATGATTCTTTTTAGTTATGTTCGGTGGTGTGCAGAGGAATGTTTAAGTGGACAAAGGTGTGAATTCATAATGACAGCGATTCAGGAGTTAATTTAGGTAGAAAGGGGTTCTAAGGCTTTTGAACACGGTCAAACATTAGGAAAACATTTGGAAACTCTTAAGTCTAGTTTGTTTTAACTATTTCCAGAAAAGAAATTAAACTTTCTTGGTATTTTTGTTTGTTTGTTCATAATATGAACTTGTCAAATATAATTGCTTAAACTCAGAAGAAAATGACACCAAAAGAAATTCCTTTGCATATTAACTTTACCTTATCTTGAAAAAAAACGATACTCTGTCTCTTCCATCAACCATTATGAAAGACATTGTTACTGTTTGTTGTTTGTGGAAGGGAGGGAGGGGAAGGGATTATTGGGTGGTCAAATATGGACTGGAATGTGATTACATGTATATAGGTTAAGTCATTCTTCGGTTAGTGACGAAGTAGTCTTTAGTTCTGCAAGCAGTGCTAAAGTTTTGTTTTGAGTACCCTCTTTCACCTAAGCTATCATACTGGCATATCAATTATCGATGTACCATTGCTTACAAATTAGATTAATTAATTACCGGTGCGATACCTTTACTTATTTAGTACTCCTCTTCCCTCTTGTTTAACCAGGAAATGATGCCAACTTCCGGGAATCTGGTACCCCTTTCCCCATAATTCGACACGCAGTACTTCCAGAATTACCAAGATCATCATACCCGAAATTAATTTATACTAAGGAAAATAAAATTATATGGAAATACGTAAAAAAAAATTGGACGACAGGTTATTTGTACTAACGATCTAGTTTACCACAATTAATCATTATTATTACTTTCTTTTTCTTTAATTTACGTTTTTTTTTTACAGTATTTGATTAAAATTACCCCCCCCCCCCCGATGGATGCAAAGGCTTCTAAATGATTAATTTCGTACCTTTGTTTTAAACCCAATTAACATAAGATCCCTCCTTCAAAACTACTGACATTAATTGCCTCGCCAAGATCTCTCGGGGGAAGTTTCAAAGACTAATGTTAATTCGGCTTTTAATGATATCGCTCTCTGGATAGAATGCTAAGGTTTTCTTAGCATGTTTCCTTTCTTAGAAAGGATATCCATCTATACCGCTAAAAACAACTTTAAAAAATATATAATAAAAATTAAATGATCAATAAGGAAAAAGCAATACTGATACATTTTTGTTCTGAACTTAAAATTTCAAATTTATGGATACATCATTTTTAAAATTTAAACTAAATAAATGCATTTTTTTCTTGATTTCTAGGCAATACAGTGTATTTTTTCATTTAATTGAGTGACTGAAATTAATGGTGACTTCTGCAGGATGGGCAATGTGATACCTCCTTAGACCTTAAGAATACATGCTGATCACATATTGCTCCTAATCGAGAATTAATGGGTTGAAGATCTGATAACCATATGTACTTAACTGTGTGGGATTGTTTTTCATAACATAGAATAAAGAAAGTAATTTTGTAGACACTATAGTTTGAACTAAGATAGAATGTCCTTTTATTATTTTGGCAACTTCATATACCTAATAATAGCAATTCTCTCGAACCTTTTCGACACGATCTGCTGTCGAAAAGTTTTCCTAAAATGTTTTTTCTTTCAAATTTCTAAAAAATAATTTAGGTTATCTGAGCATTTTTTAATTGTAATTGTAAATTGTAATGTAGTGAACGCTATATCAGTGATAGTCTTTGGGAGGAAAATTTACTCCGTAAAATCTAGCTGTGTAAATGATGGTTGCCTTGAGTTTGAAAAAAAAATAATGTACAATGGTCAAATGTGCATTTTGAGAGGAAATTTACTCTGTAGATTTTTTTCTATTTTGAAATGTAGTAGTGAACACTGCTTCAATGAGAATATTCTTTGGGAGGAAATTTACTCCGTAAAATGTAGCTATGTAAACAATGGTCGCATTGGCTTTGAAATCCTGAATGTGCAATGAACCAATGTGAATTTAAAGAAGAAATTGACACTGTAGATTTTTGTTATTTCCATAATGTAATTGTAGTGGTGAACACTGTATCAGTGATAATCTTTGGGAGGAAATTTACTCCGTAAAATCTTTCTATGTAAACGATGGTTGCTTTGACATTGAAATACTGCACCATTGTGAATTTAGAGAGGAAGTTTACTCTGCAGATTTTTGTTATTACCAAACTGTAATGTTAGTAGTTTACACCGCATCAGTGATATTCTTTGGGAGGAAATTTACCCCCTAAAATGTAGCTGTCTATTACACTGTATCATTGTCATTTTTGAGAGGAAATTTACCCTGTAGATTTTTGCCTTTTTCAATTTGTAATGTGGTAGTGAAAACTGTTTTAGTGATAGTCTTTAGAAGGAAATTTACCAGCTATGTAAACGATGGTTGCTTTGGCTTTGACATGCTGAATGCACAGTGCACCATTGTGAATTTAGAGAGGAAATTTACCCTGTAGATGTTTGCTATTTTCAAATTGTAATTGTTGTAGTGAACAGTGTGTCAATGATATTCTTTCGGAGGAAATTTACCCCCGTAAAGTCTTGTTATATCAAGGATAGTTGCTTTTGAATTGACTACTGTATGTTAATTTTATTGATGCCATTTTTGAGAGGAAATTCTCTTTGCGTTCTTTTAATCCTTTAAACTTTTAATATTTGCACCAATAAATATCTTGTTAACTGTATTACTTGTTGGATTTTGTCAATACCTAAAGGCAAAATGCTTTAAACAGAAAGAAAGATTTTCTGTTTTGATTTAAAATGCGTTAAAAGAACAATGAATGAAATATTTATTCAAAACAATTTTTGAAGTGTAATTTAAACCACTCTAAACGCCGGTGAATTATAAGGTGCCCGTTTCCTGGATATTCTAACCTATCCGTAAATTTTCTCCGGAAGCGGAAGAGTTAACGCAAACGTTAAAGTATGCGTTAATTAACGGGTGCTTCAAGAATACAAAATAATTTAATGAAAACATTAGCGGTGACGTTAATGGAACCGTCATCTGATAGATGCTTTGTGAATAAGGTCCCAGGTCACAAAACCTCTGTCTTGTTAAATAGTAAGAGTTCGGTGACAGCCTTTCAAGTTAAGATACTGTTTTAAAACAGTTAATATTTGTTTATTGACAAAAAAATATATATTTACACAGTTCCTTTACTTTTATTTACGTTGCAAATATTGTGGCAGAACAAGAAAAATGTTAAAGACAAGAAACAAAATTATGTTTTCATGTTTACATGACATACATATCCGTCCGGAATTTGGTATTCCTGGGATATGCAGCATCATTTTTGACCAAACAAAGGTATATACATCAAAAAGTGAACAATAGTTCAACGATATAGCATATGTTCATCTCTTTTTCTTTTTTTTGATAAAATATTTAAGCATTCAATTATGACTTGATGATGAAAATTGAAGTCTAAGTTATACTTAACAGATACTATGTACAGATGCCTTTTCAAGGAAACATGTTCAGAATCTATTCGAATTCATACATTTGGTAAGTAACAATACAATGTACACATTTTTTTTTTGAAAATTGATTATGATTTACATGTCTCTTTCCATTTTATGATTTAAAGACCCCTAGCAAATTTCCGGAAGCACTTTATACATTCTTCTCTGAAAATTTTGCCAATGAAGCTGTAAATGACGGGATTGAGGGACATACTAAGAAGATATGACCTCAGAAAAAACTGATAGAAGGCTTTCCCTGTGTCTGAGAGAGATGTGTAGTATGAAGGCTGTACATATCTAATTATAACGATGACGAAAAACGGTATGGAGGAAAGCATGTAAAGCAGCGTCGCCAAGAACAGCATAAGGGTGGTCTTGGTCATCTGTGCCCTTCTGACCTCATCGCTCTGGACAGACATGGACCCCTGTTTGTTAAATTTGGCTCCTTTTTCAGCTGCTTTGTTGCATTCGGAACTGTTTTCATCCGGGGAGACATCCTCTGTGTGAGATTGACTGCCACTGTGACTGTACTTCCTGGAATCTTTAGAGGTCTGGTATAAAAATGACGACCCTCTCTTGATAACCTGTATAGCAATTAGACTGTAGGCGATGATGAGAATTAGATTTATCAGCAAATTACCTGTCAGGAGAACAATGATGAACGCCAAAGGGTAGTCCGTTTTCACAAAAGAATCCTCTATCAAGCACATATGACCCACTACGTATGTCTTGGGCGCTATTGGTACTGGTACGGATTGAATTCCATAGACAACTAAACCAGGCCAAGCAAAAACAACAGCGAAAAATGCACTAATGAAAACAATAATTTTTGCTGTTTTTGTAGACATCTGTCTCTTTAAGGGTCGACAGATACATATGTAACGGTCCACTGCAATACCAAGCAAAGTAAAGGTTGAATTATTGTCCATCATAAGAGTCCAAAATCTTGAAAACTTGCACAAAACTCCATTTGTTGTTTGAAACCATTCAAGCATAAAATACAGTTCTGTTGGGGCAGTGATACAGATGTTCATGAAGTCAACTGCAGCTAGTGTCATAATGAAAACCCTTGATGTGGTCTTTTTCCATCTTGTGAAGTAAATGTAGAAGACAATGGCATTCCCTGGACATCCTATAACAAGCATAACAAATGTATAGGTAAAGCTTGTGATATAAACTTTATCGAACACAGAATTGTTAATTTCCTCTTCAATGGCTGCATTGTGCAGAATGGTAGCCGTTTTTCCAGCCGTCCTATTGCTGAACACACTTAGATTACTGTTGTGTGGTACACTGGTTATGTCGTATGTCATGATGTTGGATGTACTATTTTTCTCCATGAAATTAAATGTAAATTCTTTGAATTAAACCTGGGATATTCCTCTCTAAAGCTTCAAATAACTCCTCGTCGTTGTTATGCAATCTGCCTCAAAAGACATTTGATTGATAATATCTTATATAAAGGTACTTCAATTTTTGAATATAAGAATAGAGTAGATGTAGATTTTTACTTACCGAGAAACAGTGTTGGTCTTGGGTAAAATAAACAAGGAAGGAGATGTGTATCAGAATTCCTATTTTATAGTCTTCAAGAAGTATCGGAAATGGCGCTTGGTAACACACAACAAAAACACTAATCGTTTGCCACAGTTGTTGTTTTATGTTACAGCAACTATCTACACTCAAGTAATAGACAAAACAAAAACTGTGTGAATTTTGACAAATTATAAATTCTAATTGACCTTTTTTATACTAACTGTTAATCCATTATTTACACGCCACTGAATGGACGGCGGATTTTTCCGTTATATCCCAATCACGACAAAGAGCATACGGGGACTAGTTGGCAGGCGTTGTTACTCTTCTATGGCACCTGATTCCACTGCTGATGTTTAAAAGGTCCGTGTGCGCTTTGTTTGATTGACTTTTGAGCTTAAATAATCTTAGTTGTCCCTGTATATTTCATTATACCAGATTTAAACAATAACTGCAAAATTGATTTTAAAAACCCCACCTTGTTTAATTATGAGGAGTAAAGCCGCTCAAAAAATTAACACACGAGAAAATTATGAAATTTACAAAAGAGTTTATAAACAAATATTTATATTAAACAACATTTTTATCAAAGATTATGAAAGTACTTTGTAACAACCAACCATGTTAATATAGATAAGATGAATGATTTTACCTGCGTATCTGTGAACAGTAATATTTATTGATCTCGAAAAATCTTTTAACACAACAAATTCTGTTAACATGGCATAAACACGGACCCTATGGAAATTACAGGGAAGTCAGGTGTTTAGTAGGAGTAAGCATCCCCTGATGACCCTTCACACCCGTCGTAAGCTCTATATTAGAAACAATAATCCATTGATGAATTTATCAGTGTGTTGACATATATTCCGACTTCTCTGAAATGGTAGGAAGCCTCATCCTCTCTTTCAAAATGTGTTGTTATAGACATATTGTATATTCAATTTTCATGGAATGATTATAGAAAATGCATAGCTGATATTCCTATTTGCTTTTCCTATATACATGTATATATTGGAGATATAACAATTTTCCTAATAGGATTGATTAACTTTTATGTTTAAATTCAGAGATACTATGGGCAAATTTACATTGTGGATTCAGAAATATTCTAATGAGTATTTTTGATTACTTAATTGCTATTTTCATGGCCCCGAGGACCGGACTACCTTAATTTCTTAGTTTTACGAATTCTTTATTAAGTTGTTAAAAAGAGCAAAATTTTAGAGGTTTAATTAAAAGTTTTTAATAATATAACTGCTTTGAAAGACATTATTATTTACAAAGTTGATACATGTACCACTGAAAAAAATCAAGCAAAGGAAACCATGGAAGCAAAAGTTATAGCCCGATTCTTATATGCACTCCAAATATGGATGTGTTACATAAATATTTATTTTTGAGAAATTTTATCAACAAAACTATACATACTGTTATAATATACACAATTACACCTTATACACCAATCATGTGTTTTCTATTTTTAAAATAGTTAGAAATATTTCGACATAAACGTTTTATTTATCCTAAAAGCGGGATTGGTTCCAAGAATCCTTTAATCTTCTCCTCAAGCTTGTTTATTGTTTTTTTTTTAACAAGCGACGTGTTTTTCCCTATTAGTGGAATTTTAAGCAAGACGCAAAATCATCCAAAGTAAATGGCACATATTTTTTGCAACAGTTAACTCTAAAGATTTTATAATGTTTAGAAATATAACTGTAACAAAAGATGCGGTATAAATTGTCAGCAGTATCGAGTTTTAGCGATCTTAAAACTTTCGCTTTTCATACCAAAACTGAATCCCAAAAGAAATGTTTTTACCGTTTTCAATATCTATATTCAGTTTGCTATCTTAACGTCTATTGTCTGACCAGTCGGTGTACTGTACACTGATAATCTGTTAATCTTACCCCGTATCTCAATGTGCATACATCCTGTCGGATGTCATGTTTAGTCTGATCGGCTGTTCTTCTGAAAATCGATTTTGAAATATCAATCATTGAAGATCGACTAGATTTTGACAGATACTTACCGCTGCAATATTAAAATAAAATAACAAATTAATCAAAATAATTCTTTATGTAAAAGCCATTAAGGTCTTCAATCCCTAATAGGAAGAAATTCAATGAAATTGAAGACATAACAGATATATTAGGCATTGAATACTCAGTTTATTTAGACATACTTCCCATTTATTACTATAAATTTGTTTAGTGGGATGTGTCCTAATTCATGACCTTGAATTTTGGTAAGAGTTATCTCCCCTTTTCCAATTAATAAAAAAAATAAAAAAAAATTTAGCTGGTAAAAAATTGTTTTCAATTATCATTCTATTTATAGTATTTCAATGCATCTTTCCACCACAGGATTTATTGATATTCATATTATTTGAATTTTTATTTTAAAAAAAAAAACTGCTTTTCCCCATAGACTTCAATGCAATCTTTGTTAATTAACCAATGCTTAATTAATGAACTTTTTGAAAATTTCTTGTGGGCAATCCTTTTCCACTATCAAATGCTTTAATATAATATCAGAGTATTGTGTATTGACAGACATTTAAGGGTAGACAATTTGGTACCATTAGGGATTGAAATCCTTAAAAAGTTTTTATGGTAAAAGTCAATCTTTGAAAACTAAACATTTGAACACCAGTACCCCCCCCCCCCCAACACACACACACACACAAAAAGACAGAGATTTTTTTTCATGAGATTATACATCTTCGCTAGCCAAGGTGGAGATTATGTGTCTTAAAGTAATATTCCTGTGAATTCTGTAGTGGAATGTTTCTTTTAACAAAGGAAATAAAAATACCATTTTGTTTTTAAAAAGTAATATATATTTTGTGTTCTTGGATAAAGATGATTTTAAAAAACAATTGATTTTTGGTATTGAAATTTTAAGATATTTCACAAGGACTTGCTCCCTGTGTGTAATAATTACTTATTTTTGAAAACTATATACAATAAAAATAAAAACAACGCATGTAATTATAATGATTTAAAAAAAATAATATACGGTTCTGATAAAGGATGTCTTGTTTTATCATCACTGTAAATGATTTAAAAAATATTAGACAACTCGAGCAAATCCATGCGGCTATTAGCTAAATTTTTTCTCAGTGATCAAGTTTATGCATGTTGACAAAAAACTCGTAGAGTTTATGACGAGACAAAATTATGAGCTGAAATAGATTTTGCGTAAATGATATTAAAATAACTAAAATTTACTTCAAAGATTTTATATAAGATGCGTAAAAGTTTAATGTGGTTTGACCTTTAAGTCACCATTAAGCTCAATTTAATGATGGTTTAATGGTAGCATAATGAAGTTTGGACATTAAGCACCTGTAAGATGCAGCCTAATGGTGGCTTAAAGGAATTAACTTCTTTAAGCCACCATTAAGTCACCATTAAGCTACCATTAAGCGATTGCTTAAAGGTGGTCTTTTGTCTTGCGTTTCTTTAATGATAGATTTTATCTGCTGACAAATTCATTGTATCGACCTTACAACTACGAAATTACGACTTTAAACGTGACTGTCAACTTTCTCGCTTCATCAACTTGTTTATCAATAATTTACCAAATTTAGAAAGTGTTCATACGTATAGCATCCTTTACCGTATCTCAGAAATATAAACCGTACACAGGTGATGAAGGTATACTGTTGCTCATGTAAGGAAAGTTGACGATTAAAAAAGTCATCACTCTTATCTTAGAGCTTATTTTTTTTTAATTACGATTAACCCGTTTTCTTGTTAAATATACAGATATGAAACAGATGTAACGGACTCTGATCATTCACCAAATTCCTTAAGGCCATGAATTAGCCATGATTTTAGCAATTTAAAATTTATACAATGTCAGGATGCTTTTACTTAATTATATTGAATACCATATCTTTTAGTAGTCGCTAACCAAGGGTTTCGGTTACGCTACTCCCTTTTTATAGTCTACTTTTGTCTCCTGTAAACAAGTATGTGCAAATATTACTTTTGTTTTGTACTGAGTTAAAGTAAAATATAATCAAAATTTACCTAGGCAAAAAAAGCAAAGACCCTTTTAGTACTGATCAAGTGAGGGAAAAATAACTCATTCTTACTGGTCCTAAGATTTAATACACATTTGTCTTTAAATCTATAATGAATTTAATAATTTTTTATGAAAAAATCATAACATGTATACGAGGGTTGTTCGAAAAGTTCGTGGACTACTGTCATATCTTTTGTATTTGACGTCATATTTTATCCAAAATTGGTAGGAATATTTTAACAATCAATTCATATGATGTTTATTAGCTTTGTTTAAATATCATGATTTATTCAAAACTTATCCAGATTTTAAAAATGCAAAAATCGAGTCGCGGAGCAGGTCAAAATTTGTTAAGTTACAAAAAATACACTAAATTATGTCTGTAGCCATGTTCTCTGTAAAATGGAGCAAAAGCGAAAAACAACATAGAAATTGGAATAAAGACTTTTTACCTCAATTCGTATTTCAAATAATGGCTTGATATTTTGCTTCGTTGAAAAGAAATCAACTTGATAAGATAGGTACACATGTAGTTCTCTTTGAAAACTACATAAACAAGGACGTTTTAGAACGTCACGGAGCAGCAGATAACGATGCAATTGTATTCTTCACTCAAGAAAGATCCTGAATAAACTCTTAACGTTAAACGTTAAAACGTTAAAGAAATGAAAAAAATAGGTCACAAGCAACTTGTACACGTGTGGACAAATAGTACAGGCAGTATTTGAGTAACGGTGACTCGATCGGATCAGGACAATCTGTGAAGAAACGGTCTAACTGTAAAAAATGAACAGCAACTTGAAAAAGTTGAAACGTCAAGGAAAGACATATGCGCTTCAGAGTTGCT